TGGTTAGGGGGATGCCAAAGCTAGGAGTCCCAGTAGGGGGAGGGGATTTTAGTGGGGGTTGCTGGGCAGGGGAAGGGAGCCCAAAGATGCATGGGAGGGGGCCCTGGTGGGGGCTGGCTGTGAGTGGAGGGGAGATATGAGGGGATGCCAAGGCTGGGAGTCCCGATGTGAGGGGGTGCTCCGGCTCAGGAGAGGGGACATATTGGGGGGAGTGCAAAGCTAGGCGCCCTTATCGGAGGTGGGTGGCTGGGGGGGACCCCACATCTGAAAGACTCCATGGGGCAAGGGCTGGCTGTGGGGGAGACCCCCAAGGCTGGGCAATCTCATGGGGGTTGGTTGATTGAGGGGAGTCTCAGGGGGGGAACCCCAAGCCTGGCAGGGTCCATAGTGGGGTGGGGAGCCTGGCTTGGGGGGATCCCATGGGGGGACCCTGGCTGCCTGGGGGTGGCCCCAAGGTGAGGGGGGGGATGTCTGGCTGGATGTCCCTAAGGCTGGGAGATTCCATAGGGGGGTCCTGGTTGCAACCCCAAGGCTGGGAGGGTCCATGTGGGGGGCAATGGAGACCTGGCTGAGGGTCCCCAAGGCTGGGAGATCCCATTGGAGGGACTCTGGCTGGCTGGGGAGGGGTCTGGAGGGTCCCCAAGGCTGGGAAGGTCCATGGGAGGGTCGGGGGCCCCAGAGCAGACTCACCACGGCTGCCCAGATGCAGGCAGTATAGGGGCCCATGGCGCTGGGCCAGGCGCAGCAGGTGCTGGGGGAGGCCCGGGTGCAGCAGGTGGGGCAGGTGGCCCAGCAGAGGCAGGGCCAGGGGGCCAGGTAGGGCCCCCCCCTGCCGCCCCAAGCCAAGGCCCAGGCCCAGCAGCAGGAGGAGGAGGAGGAAGGCTGTGAGCATGGCTGAGCCCTGTGAGGCTGGGACCCAGGCTTTATACCAGCCCCCGTGATGCAGCAATCTTGGCCGTGACCCACAGCCACGTGTGCCCCCGAGCCAGTGACAGCGCCTAGCCCCGTTCTACTCAGCCGCCACGTGCCCCCCAGAGCGAGGCGCATCTCAAGGGTAGGGGTGGGTATTATCCCCAGTCCCTACCCCACCTCTTCCAGGCCTTGAGTTGTTATCGGCTCCATCTCCATCGCTCTTGACCCCTGTGCCCCTCCCATGTCGCTATGGGAACAGCTGGAGGGGTCCCTGCGTCAGTGGGGGTCATGGTCACGCCTGGGCCCAGGCAGTGATGGGGGAGGGGGCTTGGAGGCAGCCCAAGTTGGGGGGGGCAATAAGACCCCCTAATGCTGCTTCCTCTAGTTCCCCACATGCACACACATGGAGAACCCAGGTGTGCAGGACACACACACACACACACACACACACACACACACACACACCCCGTGTGACAGAGAGAGAGTCAAAGACAGCCAGAGAGACCTGGACACCTGAGTTTGGTGTATCTGTAGGTGGATGCACGCGCCTGTGTGTATCAGTATATGTGCATATATGCCTCTGTGTGTGTGTGTGTGTGTGTGTGTGTGTGCGCGCGCGCGCGCGCGCATATGCCTCTGTGTGCATCCATGTGTGCTTGTGGGTGCATGTCCTGGTGTCTGTGCGTCTCTGTGCATGGGCATACATCTAAGACTGTGCGTGTGCATCTGTGCGTGTGTGCATGTTGTGTGCATGCCTGTATGTGCACACCTGTGCCCGTGGACCTGGATGCCTGGGTTCCATGTGCATGTCTCCAGGATGCTTGCGTTGTGTGCATGCGTGTGTGCACACGCGTACATGTGCATGCATGTCTGTTCATGTGGGTATGAGCATGTGTGCACATGCATATGTGCATCTGTGTCTATGGGCATGTGCATACATCTGTGCAAACATACACATGTGTTTGTGTCAGTGTGTGTGTTTGGGACTGTGTGCACGTGCTTGCACCTGTATGCATGTCTCTGTGCCTGTGCCAGTGTGCACATCTCTGTCCAAGTGCATATGCACGTGTCTGTGACTGAGTGCGCGTGCATGTATGTGCCTGTATGCATGTGCCTGTGTCTGTATGTGAACCCAAACACCGGGATTTTGTGTGCATCTTTCTAAGATGCTGGGGAGAAAGGGGGTCTCTGTGTGTGTGCACATACATGCACGTGTATATGAGAGAGAGACCAGACGCCTCGGTTCTGTGCGTCCCGGACCACCTGGGCTCTGTGCATGTGTGCATACATATTCTTCCATGTCTGTGTGTATGTGCAGGTCTGTGTGTGCATGTGTCTCTGTGGGTATGAGCATGTGTCTTTGTGACTGTGCATGTGTGCGCATGCCTGTTTGTCCATGTGTATCTGTAGAGTGGGGAAAAAAAGAGAGAGAGGGGAAAGAGGCAGGGAGCGATGCACGTCTTCTAT